GAGATAGCACGACTAGAAGCTTAGTGTCCAAATCGGCATTACATATAAACACTACACAGCATAACGCCCTTACACACACGGTACCTGCATACAACTAAGACCTGCCTACAAATATTCAACATTTTCTTAATTGGCCACCGTCAAATATTCAATGTTTTCAATTGGCCACCGTCAAATATTCCAATTTCAAGTGGGGCAATAAAATGAAAAGAAAAATTAATAGAATACTTAAGTGTGAATGGTACGTCAGGGAGGGAAATGTACTATTAGTTACAAGTCAGAGTTTTTTTAAAGAAAAACAAGAAGAAACAAACGTTACAAGTCAAGCGTGAGAGATGGTTATGAGAGTCAAGACTGTCAACATAACTTATAGTATAAATTATTGTTTTTTTTTGTCGAAGTATAAATTATTGTTAATTTTGAAATAAACATAAACAACATCAAGAAAGATTAGATGATATCGAGATAAGTAGGAAATATCTTGAGGTCGTATGAGTATATACGAAAGTCAGAAGAACATTAATTAAAAACAAAAAGTGGATAAACTAAAAAAAAAAACAGAGTTTGTCACACTTATCATCATTTCACATGCTTCGGCCCCAGATCTCCTTGTATTCAAAATTTTTTTTTTAAATTATATTTTGTTTATTTGATGTACTTTCTTAAAAAATTAAAAAAAAATTAGAGGTTCTGGTAGTTTAGTTAAATTGTGAGGTTGAAAAAATCTAACGGATTTCATAGAGAAGATCTTTTTTTTTTCTCTTTTGTTTTGTATCCGATTTGCGTATTTTTGGGCTTTTTCATACATTTAATGTGTGACTAAACCTGTTTCATAACCAAATTTGAAATTTGTGTTAATTCATATACATCTACTTCATGCACATCTAATCAATTTTTGCTAAATTCTACATCAATAGTTAACACGTCAGCTCTCACATCTGTGTCAGCTAACTTGTTACTTGTAATTGTATCATTAATAAATCAGAATATATATATAATTTCATATATTTTAAATAATATTTTCTTTATTTTATTT